GAAGTGGAACTTGTAAGTGACTAATCGCTTGAGTTCGTGAGATAGTAAATAAAACTTGAGAAGGGTTAAAGAACCTTTATTATTAAAAATTAAATTCACAGAACTCCTTCTTGGAGTTTTACAATAAAGCCGCCACTCGGGCTTGAACTTAGGAAACTAAACCTTAACTAAACTAAAAAGATATAGCTGAAGCTGTGAAGATTCTAACAGAGTTGGCCCCTTAATGCTGAATAACGGCAAAGGTATCAAGGAGTTGATAAAGCCAAGTACGGAAAAGAGAGAATCGCCTAGAAGCGACGCGCATAGTCAGAATCATGGTTCTCTCGACGAGTCAGTAGATTCACGGTTAAATATCTCTCCTCATTTGCATTCAAACTCGATTCTAAAACTACGTTCTGGCCGGAAGTTGTAAGTTGAAATTCAGGAAGACAGAAAAGGAACTTTAACTCAAAATTTAACTGTTAGATAAATTAACCTAATCTTTACAATCATAAAAAATCACTAGCTAGAAAGCTAATTATTTGTATGATACTTAGCAAGTCTGGCATTTAACACTGGCACACATAAAAGTTTTTTCACATTCAACTTACTGTATTCCTTTCAAAAAGAAAAATTTTTGAAATCAAACTGCAATGTATGCAGAATTTTTTGAGCAAATTAAAAGTGAAGATTTATTTGGGGAAGAGACCACTCTCCTCACATGTGGTACAGTCAGCCAATACAATTATCATATCTGGACAAACTAAAAACCAGTTGTAATCACGAAATGGGTAATCCTCCTCCCAAAGGAATGGTTAATGCTATAATATTCAATACCAGGAAGCCGGGGTATTGTAAATGCAATTTTTCTGAAGGCTAACTGGGATTTCTTAATGTCACTTTCAAACACCTGCTGATTAGGAAATTGTACCATGACCAATGATAATACATCATATGATGTCAGCTATAATAACACTTTCAACCCTTGATAGGTGGGTAGCATTTTTCCATTCGACTTAAACAGTGAGTGAAGCCCAAATGTTATTTTGTCTGAATGTCATCTTACTAAACTGATAATTTAAAATAAGGAATTACCAAGGTCCAGATAATTCTGGATCATATATGTTATACTGCAGGTACGGCAAAACTGCGGCTCGTGGGCGGCATTTTGAGCCTTTCAGCTTAACTCTCTAGGAAGAAACAGTTTTTTTTTTACATAATTTAAATAATATAAAATGTATTTTGAAATACATTTTTCTTTATCAATCAGTACTTTAATTTCTTAAATTACAAAATCTGTATAATATTTTAAACGATTTCAAACTGATCATTGCTAATCAACATAGTGACAAAAAAAATGATAAATAATTTCTGTGAATTATTCATTTGGGTATATTGCCTTTAGAGCAAACAATAGCTAAATAACACAAAGGAAAAATACAATCTCAATAGCTGCGATGTAGTGTCTCAGAAAATTTACTACTTTTATTCAGTTCTCAGATAGCATGGTAGACACTAAAGAGATATTTTCAGGGAGAGAAAATGCTGCTCGTACCGGGGCTGTTTTGATTTCGGGGTAAATTTGAGATGTATTCATGTGCAAGCTTTGTAGCTGGCAAGATAAGACTTCTGACTCGTTTTTGATCAGCAGATGTATTAAAGTGAATTTTCCACCCCTCAGCAAATTAAGTCTTTTCTTATGTATTTTTCTGCACATTGTACCCATTTTCATGTTGTAGCTGCATATTTTCGACAAATGACACTTTTATGATGATTAATTGGTAATTCAAAAGCCATTTATTTCAATTATCAAAATATTCGGGGTCGCAGGGAGGATGGATTTCTGTACTGCATTGGCAGCGATTTCAAATTTTTGTCAACAGCGAATTTTTTAGACAGATATCTTTCAACTTCACCATAAACTCTTATTACAATTATGTTGCGTCGAGCAATGAAGGATCCATTCTGTAAAAATTTATCTTTCCTACAAAGCTTTTATCAAAACACAGTATACTGATGCTGATGAAATTTTTGTTAGCTTATGATATTTCTTCGCATGTTGCTTGACAAATTTCTTCCTTTCTAGCCAACCATACGTGTCACAATACTTTTGTCCGTTGACCTTTTTTATCTCTTAAGTTTTCGGTCTCTTCGTAGGTCTGAAATATATTACTTCACAAGAAAGAATAACCCAACGGAACTACTTCATATTGATCACATCGAATCTCAGGCAATGCACTGTGAAATTCTTTTGAAGTTTTGCCATACAGATTTTCATTTTAGCGTACAATCTTTGTTTTCTTACAGCTATCATGCCCTAGATACTTTCAGACTCCCTTTCAACTACTCTTAAGTGCTATCCGCGATTCAATTCACCTATAGATGGCGCTTTCACACATTAGTATGGTGGATAAAACTCGGTATTTTGATTTGTGATCTGACTTCGTACATTCAAAAAGGGAGTTACTTAGCTCTTCGAAAGTTTGTTTGTCAAGGAGGCGTAAATTCTGCTGTATTACTGAAGCAGATAGCATTTTAAAAAGCGATCATTTGGTAGTGCACGGAATTTTACTTGAAAAATCCAATTTACAAATTTTCGCTTCTTATTTAAGGATAAGTTGTATAGCGTCCTGATCGCATGAAATCGAAGAACATTCCTTGTTAAAAAGAAGAAGTAAATTTTTTTTTAAAGAATTTTCTTGTTCATGTAAAAGGGGAACTGCTGGCTTTGTAGGAAATTGTGTCACTGCTGTATTGTATTGCGACAGGTAGCTGATTTTAACGTTCATTGATTGTAAACAAAAGATTTCATATGTATTTAACTTGGGATTTGCAGAAAATCTGTGCAGTCAAAAGTGTCTTTCCCCTTTTTTCCCATAACAATGATATTGAATGATTATATACTAAAAATATATTGATCTATTATATTCGTCTATCGTATTATATCTATTATATACATAATACACTATTATCAGATGCAATTTGAGAATATCAACAAGCAAGCACTTAAAATGAAAAAAGACATTGTAATAGAAATATAGTATTCTATATGTATTATAAAAAATACATGCAATAAATAATACCATCACCATACATTTCAAAAAAAAAAAAAAAAAAAAAGAGCAGATTAAGTATTTTCTACCACTCAATACTTGAGAAAGCAATCCTGGCATATAACATGTAGTTAACTTTTGATTACATGATATTACAAGCAGTTTCTTTAGGTTTGTCCTACAAGTAGATAAAACGACTGAACATATAATGTCCACAACAATAAAAAATAAACGTTTAATTACTTTTCGATCACAACACGCTTCACAAACAACGTAGTATTGTCAAACGTAAATACTTATTTTTAATGTTTCCACCTTTTAGCCACTAGATGGCGCATCAGAGGGCTGTAATCGCGGATCTTCACCGTAACTTTCTCTAATCATTTTCCAAACATTATGCAACACTTGGCTTTCAAGAACAATCAGTATTTGAAAGCTGACATTACTCGCAGATTCAGATTCACATCACTTTTCTTTCATTGGCAGAATTGCAATGTCAATCATTTATGAAACAATTGAACTTCTGCAACATCGCCTACTTCAATATCCTCTCACTTGGGAAGAATGCACTATCAATAACCACACGATTACATCTTTACGTATCTAAGAAGTAAGTTCTTTTTGCCTGCCAGTTACGTGGTAGTAATGTATTGATTAGCAAGGTTTTCCGAAAATTTCTTTCCAATAGTAAATTAAATTTTGTGCATTAATGAAACAAATAAGCTAAAAGTAAGGTATCAGGTTTAAAAGTAAGGGGTCATAATTTTAATCTTCCTTGGGATATGATCAAAGTATCTTCATTTGATCAAATCTAATAATAATAATAATAATAATAAATAAGTAAAGCAACAGTCTTTTGACGAAATATAATAATAAAACAAAAGACTGGGGTAGTAAAAGAAATAAGATCTAAATATTAATGAACAAGTTTACTTGCGTTTCTAACTTTCTTTCTTGCGTTTAATTGCGTTCTTTACTTGAGTTCAAGTTTGCTTGCGTTTCAGAGTTTCTTAAACTTTTTTCAGTCGCGACCCCTTTTTCTCATTTTCTTCGCGACTCCCAGAACCTCATAATATTTACAAAAATTTAATAAGTATTGCGCAAATCTGACACGCCGGAGTGAAACTGTCAATTTTTGCACTTGTACTAAAATTATAAAAAAAATGCGTCGACACTTTTTTTTTTTTTCTGTATTGTCTTATCTTTATCTATTGTCAGATACATTGTGTAAAAATATTTGGTAATTGTAAAATTATTTTAATAAGGAATATCAAAACTGCTAAATTTTTTGGCGACCCCCTGCTGCAGGTCCCGTGACCCCCTGGGGGTCGCGACCCACAGTTTAAGAAACCCTGATTTAAAGTATGACATAAGTCAGCCTGTGTCCAATGAATGAGCTCATAACTGTCAGTAAAATTGGCTCATTAAATGTGCTTATCAGAGAGGAGGAAAATAGATACACATTTCCAAAAGAAAACTAAAATCTCTATAAATCAATAAGTATAGTAACACAATTTAAAGCCTTTTTTTTAAAGTCTGAAGTCACATTTAAAGGTACAAAATACTGATTTGTTTCAAATTTTAATTTTAATTTGAACACTAACTTACTTATTTTAAGAATTCAGTTGAATTGTTCACATTAAAGTGATTTGATGATAGATGATATTTACATAAAATGATTGAAATAACTAGTGAAATTTCCACATTAAAATGGCTACATAAACATTCCAAGTATCAACATATGACTATGTTCAGGAGCCATGGGAAATAATAGAGTCTATTTCAAGCGTAAATATATTTACAAAATATCTGACGTCAAAAATGTTGTCCAATGAAAATATTTCTCTGAGATCATAGTGACGTCATTCCTGAAATTCGGCCAAGGCAGCTTTGAGGGTCATGAACTTCATTCCTGGTTTTTACTTCTTTGTCAACCAATCAAGTTCTGCATAGTAGTCACGTGCTTTCCATCAGGGTTGCAAGTCATCATGCGATAAGAAACAACGCAAGCTGTGAAGACGTCAGGTGGATATGTTCTGACTCCGTACTTTTATCCTTTGTTTTGTTCATTATTGTTGGCGTATTATACTACATTACGTTTAGTTACTCCAAAATTAATCGAGGTAAGTGCTTCGTTTAATTAGTAGAGGCTTTTATTATTATTTTGAATATGAATATTTAGTCTGTGTGAGTTTGGATGAGTATCATTTTAGATTGGTTGACTTTTAGGCTTAGTATAGCTATTTCCTCCTCATATTTTTTTTGATATTCTAGAGTTAAATGTTGATGTTAATCCTGCATTTTGTAACTAAGGCGCAATATCGTTACTATATATAGTAGAAAATAGATTATATTGTGTGTTTCTTGAAGAAAAATAATTGCGTCGTATTTGACTGTGTTAAAAGCTTCAGCGTAGTAAGCTGCTCATAAAGGGTTATTGGGAAACAAAAGTTTCCTTCTTTCGGAGAAATTAAAAGCTAATATTTCGTTTATTACAGATAAAATTGGGCAATTGGAAACAGTTACTTCAAGCTAAAATTGATGTTTTAATTGTTTTAACAATTTGTCGAATAACTTTCACATAGCATATCAACCAAGGTGTTTCAATTAGAGGTACCATAAATTAAGAGTGTGTCGAGGTTGGGTTTCACCCCCCATTTTTTTTCATAACAGACAATTGCGTATATATTTTGTTTTGCGAATTTTTCAGTAGTTGTATTTTTTATTTATTTAAGTAACGAATAAACAAGAATATTTTGTTTTGCGAATTTTTCAGTAGTTGTATTTTTTATTTTTTTATTTTTCGTAAATTAATAGAAACATTGGTATTACATAATTGCGATATAAAATCTTGTGTGTATTTTGATTCTGCCTAATATCGCTTATTTAAGAGCTGATAGGTTAAAATTTAAATAATACTTTTTTTAAAAATTTATTTTACTTTGAGAATACTTAACCTTAATATCACAGTCTTTCAACACGTGGTAGGTAAATTTGTACTTAATTAACAATTTAAGTAGTAAAGGATTAGATTTCTTTATTATTCAGTCTTCTCTTCTCATTTCTAATTTTAATCATGTTTCTGTAGTAATAAAATTAATTGGAAAATGTTAAACGTAAAACATTAGCAAATTATTATCAAATAATTGAAGTCGTAATTTTAGAAAGTTTTAAACATAAATTATTCGAGAGAAGCTATTGTGAATTTTTTATCATTCAGTAACATATGCAGATGACTTTAAAACTATCTTGTGAAACACACTGTGAATCTATTTACGTCTTAAGAATCTGCAGATATTTGAACTTATTAGCATGTTTGTAATGTTACATGCTATGTTTAATATAAAAATATCAAGATTCATTATCTGCTAAAATTTTCCATTTTCATGTTTCTCTGTTAGAATTTTGAGGTTAGTTTCCTCTATGTTTTGATAGGAAATTACTTTCATTTTCAGATTTTCTAGAATCTGATGCTTTGTGTATGCATATTCATAAATATAATAAACATATATTAAAACATACTAAGTTATGCACAGTGGAATAATATTTATTCGTCATGAACTTCAAGTTTCTAGATTTTTCCAATTGAATAATTACAAAATTCTTTGCCAATCTGTGCATTGAGTTCTCTGAGACTGTAGGAACTCGAGTTTGGTTGGAACATTTAGAATATAATGCCTGCTTTTCTCCATTCTTTTTCTCTGTTGATTTAAATGTGTCATATTTTTCATTGTAAAATCAGTATGAAATTTTTGTATTCTTTTTTCCTTGATGCCTTAAGATTATGCTTATTTTAATAAATGGATACTTAAGCTTTAATGATACTGGAGCTGTCAGTTCTTTCTGTTGTGGTAATGCATGTATCTCAGAAGGGTAAAAATATATTTATGGGTGCCCCTTCGTGATTTTTGGCGGTACATGAACACAGAGTTTATTTTGGCTTCGTGTAGCGGCAATTTTTGCACCACCAAAAATCACTGGTACACAAAGCCAAAATAACAAGTCTAAGAACTGCACTGTATCATAACTCTGTATCCATGTACACATCAACCTATTTTCACTTAAAAAAAAAAAAAAAAAAAAAGAGAGAATTGCACAAACTTGGAATTGTGCATATATATAATGAATGTATAATCTTAATTTCTATTTTAAATCAAACAGTAAAATAAGTAATTTCTATTTTAAATCAAACAGTAAAATAAGTAATTTCTATTTTAAATCAAACAGTGAAATAACATAAAAATGGAAATTAATCTTAGCACTACACAAAGGAAATGTCCTAGAAATTCCTTCAGTCAAACAAAATTCCTAAACAGCATCCAAAAACTTCCTAAAATTATATTAACTAGAATCTGTATACTGGTTTGCCACATGAATTTACAAAAATATGAGTGAAAAATAATCTCTGTAGTGCCAGTATCCTTCAACGTTCAACTGTACTCATATCTTTCATAGAAACAGAAGAATTGTAAAGGCTACTAAGAAAATCTTTGATTACACACCAGTGAATTAATGCTTTTTTCCTTTCGTTCCATATTGTACGTAAATTCAAATTAATCTTACCACATTTAGCCATTTTGCTGTGTAAATCACAAAATAAGCAACATACTTCCTAACCACACAAAAACCCTTTCAAATCTTTTCCTATTATTCAAAATCATCTCAATCATGTAGCCAATTGTCTTAATAGGATTTCCATAACATTCAACTACTCGGGACTACCATAAATGAAACAACATCGCGATAATCCAAGAGGCACCCTACAATATACTCTAACCCTCAGAAGATTACATGCTAATTAGCCATGTCTGCTATGGAATATAATTATGTATAATTCCTGGGGAAAATTATCTGATAACTTATTTTCAGCAGCAATAAGTATGTTGTTATAAATAGGATATATTTTTTCCCATCATTATTCCATCAGTCTACCTTTGTCTTTTATATCTACAAAGAATTTTTTCTAGGTACGTATAATCTCGCAGTATGGAAATTGAAACATTCTTGGTTGTTCATCTGTATTCTGCAGTATTTAAAAAAGTGCTTAGTTTAAGTTCTTTATTTTTCTTGTAGACTAGTAAAGATTTTTGCAAGGTATAAATGTATTCACGAAATTGTGAAGGTTTGTTTCTAATTTTAGGAATCTTACTTGGACTTCTTAACCTTTTCGCGACGAGTGTTTTTTTTTTTTTTTTTTTTTTACAACAGAACAATTTTGATAACATAAACTATGAGTAGGGTACACTAGAATGCTAAAAACTAAGATTTTATATTTTTAGAAAAATTTTGAACACTGATTTAGGACCGGGACATATATGTCCTATCAGTCCTGACTGCTGGGACATGTGTCCCAGTAGTCTTCAATGAGTAATTTTGTAAAGAAAACCAATGATTTTCTAATCATAAAAATTTATTTACGAATGGTATGGTTTGAAACAATCAATGCACAATGCGACATTACACAAGTGCACGATTACGGCACCGAATCAGTCAAACGCAAGCATCACGTCTTAACCTCGGATTGTCTCCGTTAGCTTTGATATTACCCGTTCCCCGAGTGTGCCTTGAACTTCACCCGTTTCTTTTCCAGAATAAATGTTCATGTCATATACATATCCTGTTTTTGAATCACATCGCTGCCAAATTTTTATTGATATGAGCTTTCGCTTTGGCTCTGTTTGAAAGTTTGTTTCAGACATGAAACAACCTCGTCAATATAATATGTTTTACTTGAATTTTCTGGTGCAGCAAAATATAGTTTCAACAGCAACGTTTTACATCTCTCTCTTGAAATAACATTTTTTATTGCTACGTTTCCCAAAGAAGGATTAGATGACCAATAATGAGAGAATTTCGGCACCCTATTGTAAGACATGACAAGCATATCAGAGGGGTCTGTAGGGTGACTTGTTTGTCCTAACTTTTCGAGTTGTTGGTTTGTGCATTGAGAGATCCAAATCATTAAGACTTTTTGGAAATATCTTGAGAAACACGTCCAATTCAGTAGCTAAACGATTTAAGTTGAATAACAAACTAGGCGATGACTCTGCTGGAATTGTCATTCGAGGTTGGAAAGTTGAATCTACATGAAACCATAAGATTGGTTTGCAGCCTGAAGCATTAGCTGATAGTATTTCATCAACTAATGAAACTGATGCCATATCAGTATCACTCAAAGCATCGCAGTTCTTTGGAATTTGGGGAATGGTATCATGATCGATATCTGTTTCGCACTCGTCTGAATCGGATGAGTACTGCAAATTGTGTGTTGGATCTTGAAAATCGGGATCATCTACTTCGTTATCTTATTCTTCTAAAATTTTTTTGATTTCTTCATTAGTAAATCCCCGCCATCGAGTCATTTTAGATTGAATTAATATGTGCCTAAATTAAAAATAATAAGCAACTATTTCAAAGGTAACCGAAAAAATATAATATCTAGAGAAATGATCACATAGGACTGTTGGGACAATGTGTTCCCACTATCCAAGACGAGAGGGACACGAATGTCCCGATAATAAAAACGGAAGTAAAACATAGCCACTTACCAGTTTATTAGAGGTAATCAGCTTCGTGAGTAACTTGTCTGGCCTTAGATGTGTGGATAAATCAAAATTTAATCGAAAACAGGCGGTATTTTCCAAAACTAAACTATTTACGTTCGTAGAGTATGGAATGAGCTGCTAACAGCACTTCAAAAATACGGGATTTGCATTATGTACAGTAGTGCCATCTATGTTCTGTGAATGAAAATACCTTAAAAAATATTGGCAGTACTGGTGGGAAAGTATCCCATTAGACAGAGAAGCATTTCTATCCCAAAAGTATTTTTTGAAATTTGCTTGGGACATACGTGTCCTGTTAGGCACGAAAGGGTTAATAATAATGAATGAAATTATTATAGATTTGCAACTATCATTTTCTGATGTTATTTGTGCCCATTTAAAATGTCGACTAAAATGTTCTATTTCATCATCTCAAATTTATGGTTAGTCCACAGAGGCAAATCGAAGCATATCGTATATGATACGTTGTGAAAAAACGGGTTAATGTAGTTTTTGCTTGTCAAATATCTTTCATTTGGTTGAGATGATCTAAATTAGGCACATCAACTTAAGATATA